CCTACAGCCTGTTTGTAGTCTTTGCTTACAGCCTGTTTGTAGTCTTCGCCTACAGTCATTTCATAAGACTGAGCTCTCAGATGAGGTCTGCTGAGGCATGTGTTGAAATTCCTGAACTGAAACCAACAGCTACTGCACGGGGGAGGATTTTAGAGACGGGGAGGGCTTCATGTCTAAGCTCATACGATTTTCTGCCAGGACAATTTTTTAGTGTTGCCTGTTCGAAAAGAATGGACATTTTTCCGTGTTGCTGCGGTGGTTTGGTGTTTTTTTTTCCCCTCTCCCGTGAGGAAACCACAAGTTGGAAACCAAACTGCTCCTGCAGATAGTTCAGATAAAACTATTTTCAATGTTTAAATATAGTTTTAAAGAACCATCCTTGAGGTCTGCGTGTTTTCTTCCAACCGTCTCTGCGGATCCGCCCAGCCGGAAGTGGCAGAAAGAGCAGCGAGGCGGAACTCTTCTTCACGCCTCCGCTTATCAGAAAAGTTTGGACTTTTATTGCATCTCTTCGAAAAGCTCAGCCTGTCGTCCGCATTTGGCAGGACAAATGCCGATTTTCTTTTTTACAGTAGAAAGTGTCCTTTGAGGTGTCGGCGAGGTTCAAACGTGAAAATGAATGGCGGGGTTTGATCTAAACGAGCGCAGCGGGCGCGAGACAGTAAGGTGCTTTCTGACCCAGACGTTTAGCTAACCTGAGAAATCGGATTAAAAGTTGTTTTTTTGTGTATTTTATTTTATTTTTTTACCTTACCGGATCCTGTTATCATGACGGTAAGCTTTTCCCTCAACAGTCTTTGTTTGCACCATGAAAGCAGTTTGTTTTTCTGTCTTGTCACTTCTTCCTGGATGTGTGTCAAACGAAGTTAGCTCGTTCTCCTCAGAGCTGCTAGCTGCTAGCTGCTGCTTTAATGTTTGTTTGACTCGAGGGCCGTTTGTAAACCTTTAACCCCCTTTTTATTTTGGTGTTCGTTTCATATGAGACTTGTCCATTTGTGTTACAAAGTTCCTGCTTGTCCATTTGTGTTGGATTTTCTCCTGCTTCTTGTTTACAGCAGCAGGACGTTCAGACCTGTGACATTTTTCACAGCCAGCTGTGACACATGTTCCATGTTTTTCATTTAAAAAAAGCAACACAAACCCCAAACTGCGACACTGTGTCAGACAAGACTGCAGTAACCTTCAAGCCTGACATTCTTTAGATGCAGAACATAAATACTGTAAAACTAAAACGTGCAGTTACTCAGTCCTAGTATTTTCCAGGCTAAAATAATACACTTTATTCTCAGTTCTAGTTTACCAAAATGGTAATGTGAGTTTCTATTCATTCAAAAAGCTCAATGACGTGGATTGCTTTTATGTTATTTCCTAAAAAAGATGGACACTTTCATAGATTTTACACATTTCGTGAACTAGGTTTAAAATGTACTGTAGAAAAGCACAAATATTCAGCATGTGGTGTTTATATGGTGTGCAACTTGTCAGTCACAAGTACTTTATATGCTTTTACACCAAATTAAAACAGCTTTATAAAATGAACTTCATGTTGTGTTGAGAAAGGCTTGAATCGTGTGTAAACTACCGGTACTTAAGTGTTATTGCTTGTTATCCAGTAGTTATAGGTTAATTATCTTATTAACAAAATGACAATCCAAGCTGCTTTACTGGCAACATTTCAAGTAAAAAATAAACAAAACTTTGTATTTAGTGAAATTATATTTTCTTTTAGGAGCCATTGCTGTATTTTACATCCCATAGCCACCACCATCCTGATTCAACACAGCTAAAGTAACCTGGAAACCTGATTTTGTAAATTAATTACGAAATATTAACTCCAAACAGTCTTCAGGGAACTGTCATCACGGTGACTGTGCTTTGGGATCCTCTAGTTCACATTGTGCAGAGAGACAACTTATTTAACTACTGTAGTCCTGAAGGACAAAGCTCTGGAGACAATACTGGTCTGTAGTGACAGGAGGTCAGGAAGTGCGCATCGTCCTTGTACCCGGAACTTCATTTTCTTCTTTAACGCTTTACAGTTACTCCAAAAATATGTTTCCCTCACCTTCTGCTTCCTTACTCTGCCTTATGGGCATGTAGAGACAAGTGAACATTAATTTATGATCAGGTGAGACACGTCACAAGGTGCCCCTGTAGTTTATGGGAGAGATGGTGGGGAAAACAATTCACAGGAAAATCAGGCAGTTAATTTTCATTTTATGTTTTCATGTAGCTCAGGTTAGCTTTGTGTTCATTCCCCTGCCGCCGTTTACTGTCATTACGGTTGGATTTAGGTCAGACTGTGTTCACCTGGCGGTATTTAGATGTTGCGTAAAATGTTTCAGAACATTACCAGATCTTAGATTAACATAAAGGATTAAACTTAGTCTTACAAATTATCCCAAAGATGTACTGGTATTAATGTTGTAATGCAGTCATCAGACTGTGACTGTTTTTGGATGAAAGGAATTCTGCAGAATGGATGAGTTGCCTTGGGGAAACCCGGGTGGTGCTGTAACGCTCAGGAACACCAATAAGAAAAAAAATAAAACCGCTAAAAGAAGCTATTTAAAGCTGATAGAAGAGGAGGAGAGTGTAGGAACAAACAGGACTGAACACAATGTTCTAAAACATGGAGAAAAAGGAGTAAGGAGAGGAGAGAATAACGCCAGTGGGAGATGATGGGGAAGTTTCTAATGTGGACAGGTTTTAGATTGAGGAATGTACGTTAGATAAGCAAAGGGAGGAATGTATGTTGCTTAATCTTAATCTGGGATCACTACATCTAGAGGCACCTAACGCGTGTTTTCTCTTCCTGTAAGAAAGATGCAGTGCAACAAGAGCAGCAGCCTGTTGTGGAAACGGCATGCTGACGTGATGAACTGCCCGAGTGTGATGACACTATTACACTCTTCAAGACTTAAATAAAAATAAAAAAAATGACGAAACAAAACGCTCCTCTACACACTTGCTTATGTATAAAGTTCCAACAAGATCATCTTTTTGGTTGGAGAAACGCTCATAAAAAGTGGAAACTGGATTATCTCCTTTGGGGTAAAACAAGTCGTCAGTATCTGTTGTCTTCACGTACAACAAAAGAATAAACCTGAGTGGGGGTGTGGTTGTTCTCAGACTGTTAAACATGCGAGACCTTTTGATACAGCGTGTTTTTGCTTTGTCTGATCCTCTTGTTTCGTTTATTAGTTGATTTTTCTTCTCCCTCTTTGTGTCTCATCCTCCTCTTTGTAATCTGTTCATTCATGGCTTTTACACATGAATGACCTTGAAGGCGTCACACATTTCCTTCCTCCAAGTCTTGCAGTTTTCTCAATCGTTTAAATGAAGGTCGACTAAACTGGCACTGTTTATTCTCCTTGGCAGCCGGACCTCTTAAATTTCAAAAAGGGATGGATGTCAAAACTAGACGACAGCGGGGAGGTGAGTGTCTTTTCCCTGTCTGTAATAGCTACTTCTGCCAGCAACACTCATATTAAAAAGTTTTTGTATTATCACATTAATGCAAAAGTAATGTCTCCTCTCTTTTAATGAGATGGTTGAATAAATGAGTATCGCATGCCGTAGGGTCAATACTTCACTCTTTGACACTGAGCTGAGTACGATATTACTGTAATGATAAAGGTAATGTTGCCTCCTTTAGTGAAACTGGTGTTTTTATTTCTTTAGTGGAAGAAACACTGGTTTGTCCTGACTGACGCCGGGCTCAAGTATTACAGAGACTCAACAGCAGAGGAGGTATGTTTTGTTCTTTAATACCAGTTTTGAGTTTTTGTGGCAATTATGTGACTGTCAGCAAGCATTTTTTTCAATTATTCATTCATTTAAAGGCAACTAAAGAAGCAAAATAAATTCATTAATAATATTTAAAACAAACATTGAATGAAAAGGGTGTAGAAAGAAGAAGAAAGTTCTTATATCTGCCCCTTATAAAAAAACACTATAAAATAACTACAAACAAACAACAACTTAGACTTGAACAATCGCCAAAATGAAAACAAAAAATGTTAGATATCCTTCACTTAGCATTATACTTTCGCAACAACTTTAACGTAATCATCTTTTTAAACATGTGAATTGTTTTAGACATTTTTATGGTGATATCAAGGCAATTCCACAATCCTACTCCCTGAATCAACGCAGCTCCTTCAGATTAGTTCTAAATGGGGGTTTTACAAACATTTCCATTCCCTTAATGTTATAATGACTCTCTCTTTTTTTTTAAACAAATTTTAATTTAATATTTGGGGGAAATATTTCTTATGAGCTTTATACATGACTTGTAAAATACTATATTCAACCAAATCATAAAAGTTTAATAATTTCACATGATGAAATGTATTTGTTGGGTGACCATAGCACTTCCTATTAATTAATAATTCTTATAGCTCTTTTTTGTAAAATAAAAATAGGATTTGTAATTGTTTTGAATGCTTTTCCCCAAACTTCAATACAATAGATTAAATATGAAACAAGCATTACATTATATAATATATACAAAGATTTGTTATTCAAAACCTTTTACTTTATTCAGTAATGCAATTGATTTTGCTATTTTTATTCTTAAGTAATTTACATGAGATTTCCATGTCAGCTTCTCATCAACAACGACACCCAAAAATTTTATTTCATTAACTCTATGAATTTCAGTACTGTTAATTTTTAATGGTACTTCAATCATTTTCTTTCTTTTACTAAATATCATGTAGTTGTTTTTTGTCTAAATTTAATGATAACTTATTAAGTTGGAACCAAGTTTGTATTTTTACGAATTCTGCCTGTTTCATCTCTAACATCTATTCAATACCTTCACTCGAACAAATAAATGTAGTATCATCTGCAAATACAACACACTTCAAAAGCCCTGAGACATCAACCAGATCGTTCACATACAAAATAAACAACTTTGGTCCCAACACAGAGCCAGGAGGAACTCCACATCCATTAACACAAAATTCAGGTCTTACATCATTTACCTGTACAAACTGTCTCCCATTATTCAAATAACTGGATACCCACTGTAGTGCTAATCCTCTAATGCCATATTTATTCCGTTTTTCAAGGAGAATGGTGTGATCATTAGTGTCGAAGACCTTTTTTAAATCAATAAAAATGCTAACACAATACTGTTTTTGATCAACAACATTTGTTATCTCTTCTATTAGTTCCATGAGAGCCATTGATGTTGAATTATTTGCTCTTTACCCATATTGACTATTACTTAAAATATTATGTTTATCTATAAAGCGATCTAATCTGGTTACAAATAATTTCATAATATACTGCATGGCCCCCAAAAAAGTCGCCACTTGGATTTAACTAAGCAAATAGGTACAAGCCTCGTATTGGATAATTACTGCATGGGCGATTATCTTTCAGCTGGAAACAAGTTATTTAACCCCAACTGGTGCAATGAGTACCTTCTCATTTTTTAAACAACCATGTTGAAAGACGCATCATGTGGTCGTGGAAAAGATGTCAGTCTGTTTGAGAAGGGTCAAATCATTGGCATCAAGCAGAGAAGACATCTAAGGAGATTGCAGAAACTACTAAAATTGGGTTAAGAACTGTCCAACGCATTATTAAAAACTGGAAGGACAGTGGGGACCCATCGTCTATGAGGAAGAACTGTGGCCGGAAAAAAATCCTGAATGATCGTGATCAGCGATCACTTAAATGTTTGATGAAATCAAATGGAAGAAAAACAACAGCAGCACTCAGGGCTCTGTTTAATAGTGAAAGTAAGAGCATTTCCACACGCACAATGTGAAGGAGCTCGAGGGCTTTGTAACTGAACAGCTGTGTAGCCTTAAGAAAACCACTAATCAATGAGGCTAACTGGAAAAAAGGCTTCAATTTGCTAGGGAACATAAAAATTGGACTCTGGAGCAATGGAAGAAGGTCATGTGGTCTGAGTCCAGATTTACCTGTTCCAGAGTGATGGGTGCATCAGGGTAAGAAGAGAGGCAGGTGAAGTGATGCACCCATCATGACTAGTGTCTAGTCATCAACGCAAGATCTTGGTGAAAAATTAATGCAACACTGGATGGAAATAGATCTTGTGACATTGAAGAAGCTTTTTGAAACAATGACACAGTGAATACATGCTGTGCTCAAAGCTAAAGGTGGTCCAATTAAATATTAGTGTGTGACCTTTGTTTTTTTGGTGGCGTCTTGTTTTTTTTTGGGCCAAGCAGTGTAGCGTTTAGCATTTAGAATTGAAATATGGCTTCGTGATGACACACATTGTTTTCTGCACAGAAAGATGACTTGGACGGGGAGATTGACCTGAAATCCTGCGTGAAGGTGTCAGAGTTTGATGTGGAGAAAAACTATGGGTTTCAGATACAGGTGAGTAACTTTCTTAATAACAACATTTAGCAGTTTATTTTTTCCTCCTTTTAACATTTTGTCTTTAACTTTAACCACCTATGTTTTTAATTTCTGCTACGTCTTTATTATTACTTCACTTTGACTTCCACCACTCCAACATCATATTGTGTGCATTGTTTGACTTTATCTCCACTTCATCTCATTTGTCTACATCTTTTAATTATTGTTTTGTCCTTTGGTTCGTCAGACGCGGGAGGCTGTGTTCACGCTGTCTGCCATGACAGCTGGGATCAGGCGGAACTGGATCGAGGTTTTAAAGAAGTGTATTAGACCCAGCAGCTCTCCAGACTTAACCCAGTAAGTACCAGCAATATGGTATCTATAGCAAAAAGTGAAAATGGTGTGAAAAATTCACGTTGATTTTATCGTAGACACTATGAACCCAATAAACATTCTCTTGTCTGGCCCGTAACTTTTGATCCACTCAAGATTATTTAGTGAAACTTCATAAACTTGTGCACCATCACCAGACAGGGCGTTGTGTAAACTTTTCATCAGCCTGCTTCAAGCTGAAGATCACAAATCAAGTTCATATGTTTGAATGTGTTGTAATCTTTACAGAAACATCAGCAGACCTGTCTTTTACAATGATGTTCATGTTGCAGCCCACTGTGTGACGCGGCTGTGTTTTTGAGATCGGATCACTCCAGAACACGTTAATACTGGGTCTGAACAGGTGTTTGAGTCTATACCACCCCCAGTTTTTATGCTACATCTCAGAAGTTTCGAGTCTTGATTCTAACCAGAAGTTCAATTCAAGTCAGTTTATTTATTTAGCACCAAGTCACAACAGAAGTCATCTCAGGACACTGAACAGAAGCATTCCTATTTGAAAATAATAATGTAACATTATTTATCTGAGGAGCAGACTGCTTTGAATTTAACTCCATCACAGAATGCTCGTCTTGAGCAAGCATTAAGGCGACAGCGGAAAGGAAAAACTCTCATGAGGAAGAAACCTTTAGCAGAACCAGGCTCACGACAAGCGGTCATCTGCTTTGACCAGCTGGGTTTGAGAGGAACAGATACACAATGGCAGGTCAAGAATCACGTCAAGATAGAAATGGTATCAGATGAAAACTATTCAATTTTAACAATTCATTTAAGGAAATGAGGTCAGTTTGTCCTCTAGTAGTCTAAGCCTATAGCAGCATAACAAGCCAACCCTAACTATAGGATTTATCAAAAAGGAAAGTCTTAAGTCCAGTCTTAAAACTGGACAATGTGTCAGCCTCATAGACAGAAACTGGAAGTTGGTTCCACAAGAGAGGAGCCTGATAACTGGAAGATCTTCCACCCATTCTACTTTTGGAAACTCTAGGAACCGCAAGTAAGCCTGCAGTCTGAGAGTGAAGTGCTCTGTTAGGAAAATATGGAACAACAAGATCTCAAATATAAGATGGAGCTAGGTTGTTGAGAGCTTTGTAGATTAGAAATTTGACAGGGAGCCAGTGGAGAGAAGCTAAAACTGGAGAGATATGATCTCTCCCACTAACTCCAGTTCAGACTCTGGCAGCAGCATTTTGGATCAACTGAAGACGTTTTAAAGAAGCATTTGGACACCCAGATAATAAACCATTGCAATAATCCAGTCTAGACGTGACAAATGCATGAAGCAGTTTTTCTGCATCATTTTTAGATGTTTTTAATTTTAGTGATATTACGCAGGTGGAAGAAGGCAGTTCTAGTAACGTTTTTAATGTGGGGGATAAAAAACATGTCCTAATCAAAAATAACACCAAGATTTTTAACATTAGAGCTGGAGGACAGATTAATGCCATCTACGGAGGGAGAAGACTGAAAAATTTAATTCCTAAGATGTTCAGGTCCAAAAACTAAAACCTCAGTCTTGTCTGTGTTCAACAGGAGAAAATTTAGGTTCATCCAGGTTTTTATGTCTTTAAGACATGCTTGTAGTCTAAGTAGCTGATTGGATTCATTGGGTTTCATGGACAAATATAACTGAACAGAAGTGATGAGAAATGTTTACTTGATTATTATGAATGGAAAAATAAGTTTAAGTCCAAAACTTCCAGTTACCTTATATTTTCTTTAAATCGTTGTATGGTATATTCATTTGATAATAAACAACAATTTTTGTTTTTGTTTTTTAGGTTACCCGACAATAACAGTGACAAGGAAAATTCCCACGCACGGCTTTTGTCGTCTTCCCGCCTCCAGTCTTTACGCCACGGCAACTCTCAGTCAGAAGTTTCGTCCTCGGCCCTTGTGACGAAGCACAGGTTCGACTACGTGGAACTCTCCCCTGTTCCCGTCTCCTCCGGTTCTCTTCCAGCCGGTCAGCGAGAAGCAGGAGAAGGACAGGGGCGTGAGCACAGCCAGTGGCAGGAGGAAAGGAACACGAGCAGCCAATGGGAGGCCGTCCTGTCCACGAAGGGCCCTGGCCTGGGGTCAAACCAGAGGCTCCACATGGAGGATGAAATTGAGAGAAAATGGGCGGAGCTTGAACGAATGCCATTTAAAGATATGAGCTCTTTACCTCCGACAGGATTGCAGTCTTCTAGCCAGTCAGCCAACGAGGCGCTGCAGAGGGAGGTAGTGCGTGGAGATGATTCTCTAATTTGCAAATCTACTCGGATGCAAATTAACCCTTCATCTGCCTAGATGAAGTAAAACGTTTCAGTTTCTGCCTTCTAACACTTCTGGCTTCTTTCTAACTTGCGTTTTTAGCAGTGTTTTCCATCTGAAATAATATGCTGTAGTTAAAGATTATATATTAATAACTGGTCTGAAAAGTACAGAGGCTGTACTGTGGAGAATACTTCTAAAAGGGTTGGTCTGCCTTTGTGTGCAGTGATGTGTGTCTCAGTTTGAGTCTCTTGCTCTCGGTCGTGCACGCTTCACGTTTACTGCAGGCTGCAGGAAAAATCCACTTTGGCTGGAGAGTTGACCCGGTGGTGTCGGTCAGTCGGCTTTACCTCCGTCTTTATCTTTTTATAGGTGGCGTCACTGAGGCAACAGCTGGAGCGACTACAACAGGGAGGACGGGGAGGGGGAGGAAGAGCGCGGGGCGTCTGTGGTCCTGAAGCCCCCTGCAGCCGCAGCCTGGCAGCCATGGAGCGCGCTCACAAACAGGCCCTAGAAGAACTGCAGAGGCAGCACGTGCGACAGATGAGGGAACTGGAGAGGGAGAGGGACAGGCTGCTGCTGGAGGAGACTCAGGACACGGCACGAGGTCAGCATGGTTCTTCTTTACAAGTTTGTTTATAACGCTGAATGTTTATGAAGCATTCACTCTATTGTTCCATTTTTTTCTGTACATTTTTTGGGATCTTTCTCATGCCACAATTTTTTAGCTATTTCATAAATCAAAACGTTCAGCTCTTTCAGGACAACCCTGCTATGACTTTTGATGTTGGTGCAACTTTAGCTTTTTGAAATACTTAGCTTTTTTCTGCCATTTTAGGAAATGACTTGAGCTCATTTTACATCCTTCAGATCTTTAGATCTGTTTATAACTTTTTAGCTTCTTTCAGCTTCTTTGTGCAAATTTAATCATTTTTCAGCTACTATCAGCAATTTTTAGCTGTTTTGTGCCCCTTTCAGCTTCTTTCTGCTAACTACAACATTTTTGTGCTTCTTCTAACTTATTTCTGCTAATTTCAACTTATGCTCCTTTACGTTTATTTATGCAAGTTTTAGCTTTTTCTGTTATTTCAGCTGCTATTTACCTTTTTATGATAATTTTAGATTTTTCAGCTAACTCCACATTTCTTTGCACTCATTTCAACTTTTTCAGCCTAATCCAGCAAAAAATGTGCTCTCTACTTCCTTCTTGTAATTTCAGCTTCGTTTTAGCTACCTTAATTTTTAGCTACGTTTAAGCTGTTTTTGCTTATTTCAGCTTTTTTCAGATAATTTCCTCTATTTTGTGCTCATTTCTGCTACTTTCAGCCTAATTAACTTCTTTATGCTAATTTCAACTTGTTATGCTCCTTTCAGCTTTTTCTGCTCTTTCAGCTACTATTTAGCTCTTTTGATGCTGTTTTTAGCTTTTTCAGGTAACTCCACATTTTAGCTCTTTTCAGCTCTTTCCATTTCCATCTGGTAGTTTAAGCTTCTTTCTGCCTTTTCAGTTACTTTTCAGCCTTTTTTGCTAATTTCCAAATTTTTATGTTCACTTCTGTTCATTTAAACATAATTCAGCAAATATGCATTCTTTCTGCTTTGTTCTGCTAAATTAGATTTGTTCTTCCATTTCAGCTAAATTTTAGCATGTTTTTCTTTTAGCTAATTTTAGCTGTCTTTCAGTAGGTTCTTCTACAATAAGCATTCTCACTGAATTTTCACAGGAAATGTAATTTCTCTAGTTAGAACAGGGTTTCCTGGTTGACTAGTTTAAAGTTGCGTGCAACAAGAAGTTGTGATGCAAATGATGAGAAAACGTCTGGCTTGTAGAAGTAGCTGCTGGTTAACGTGTAGACTGTATGTTTGTGAAGTCATTACTGATAATTGCCACTTAATGAAAACGGCATCAAATAGACTTCAGTTAAATGGGAAAAATTGTGTGAGAAGCAAAATTACATATTTCACAGGTTGTCACAATGCAGATTTTTATCACTTTATGATCTGTAGTACCGTTGTAAATATTATAGCAAATATTTATCCAAGTATAGATTTATATTTTATAAGCCCAGCCAGTCTGAGAATATAGGATTATTTCTGCAATATTGCTCAACCCTGGTAAGCCTAGTATTATTTCTGATAATCCTTACAAACAACATTCATGTGTTGCAAAGAAAGAGAGGAACGTTACGTACACACAAATGAAGGTTTATTTGCTTTTTATATTTTAAACAATTCACGTGATGTTGATATGACCGCTACATGATCAACCTGTCAGATGGTCAGCTTTATTAAATGTTCAGACTTGTTTATATAGTTTGAAGTACTTTCAGTTGGTTGTGTTCATGCAGAGGAATAAAAACATGATTTGCATTCACGGTGAACTCCTGAGCTGGGAAAGCTTTGTCACAAGGAGTTGTCTTGTTTGTGTTTCAGTGATGGAGGCTCTGAAGAAAAGACACGTAGAGGAGCTGGAGAGGGAGGTGGAGAAAGTGAAGAGGCTGAGCAGCGGGAAGTTCGATTCACAGACTCTACGAGCTCAACAGCAGTAAGTTTAGTTCCTGCCAGTCTGCGACAAATATACAACTCCCCCTCCCTGTGGGCGCTGAAGGGCCCTGCATACTCCATCTGAGCCGCAAAATCTGCTCTCGTTGACGTAGCTGCGTGTCGATGATGGTGTCATTTTGTTCTCAGAGTAACTTCGTCCACCTTTCTCGATACAAGGCCAAACTTTTTCTCACAGGAGTATGTTCCGACCGAGTATTGTGTGATTGTTCAGAAGTTTGTCAATGGAAAAGCTCTCAAACATCTTTACGTCTCACCAAGACGCATTAAAGTGAAATGAACTCAGTGGAGACTCTGGTGGGAAGAAACCCGTGCAGTGATATCTACTGCAGTGGGAGGGGTTTCCTAGGAGCTCTGTGTCGTGCCTCATGGACTATGAAAGGTGTGTGTGAAAACAAATATCCTGCAGCCATGTGAGCACAAACGAACTGTTCAGCTTTGGATGGAGTAAGCACAGCTCTTTGGCTTACATCTTCCTGGTGCTCTGTACTCTGCATGAGTTGAACCATGACATATTTTTTTAACAATTATCCTAATCTTGATCTATGTCACACATCATATGGTTGCAGTTCTACTTCACATGTGTACTTGTACTCCTCCCAGACTACTCATAGTTGCTTTTGTGGTAGTTTCTTGCTACAGTGTGAGTACCTTTGCTTTCAGTTTCAGATGCTGCAGGCCACCACTGGCAATTTGTGAATTTTTCTTCTGCCTTTAAACGCCGGATGATGCAATAATCCAGAATTTCTTGCTGAAGCAATCCTGTCACCACCGCAGCCCAGAGTCGTGTTAACACTTGAAGATTGTGGAAGAATTTGGTCATAGATTAGGTTCACACAGAAAGCTTTATGAAGTTCTCTGACACTGTCTCTGTGCTTATCTTCTGTAACTGCTGGGCATTTTGCAAACTCTTCCTCATTTTTGTGGTCACTGGTCATAAGCAGCGAGGTTTTACAACCACAACAGGAAATACTTGACTTATTTGTTTAAACGCGCAGCAAACATTAATATTGACCAGTGTTCATGTAAAATGATACGACTACACTTGAAGTGGTTTGGTAACATGAACGTCTTTATTTAAAGGGTTAGAGGGAGTTGTCTCTGAACTTGGCGTCTACAAGCAGAACATATTTCTCGTTTTGTCTTGTGCTGCTGCAGGGAAGAAGCTCAGTCCTTGCAGAGGGAGCTGGCCGGTCTGTCGGAGCGCTACTCTCAGAAGTGCCTGGAGCTGAACAGAGCCGAGCAGGCAAACGCCGAGAGAGAGCGGGAAATCAGCCGCAAAGAGAGAGACATGGAGCAGCTGAGGAAAGAGAACTTGGTGAGCTCTTTGTCCACATGGAGACAGATGGTGTTTAAAAAGGTGTTGAATGAAACTAAATTTTGGTGTTAAAAGTTATAAACATTAATGAAAAAACATTTATAAAACAAATTTATGCGCCTGTATGCCAACAAATATCTATTAACATAAAAAGTTAAAAACAAAATGTTTTTTTTTTCTCCCAGGATTTAAAGGCCCGTTTGACGGAGGAGATGACCCGAACACGATCTCCAGGCACATATTCGAGCTCAGAGAACCACACAGACAAGACGCCCTGCGAATTAGAGGTTTACTTGTTTATGAAACTGAAAGTGTGTGGGCTGCATTAGCTGGGGTGGTTTGAACTTTTTGCCACACTGGTAGCTAAACTCTCATGTTGTGGGTGTAAACATTTGTAAACCTTAATATGTTACATCCATTTTAGTTTGCGTGTGTTGTGTAGGAATGTAAAAGAACACTAGGGACTCATTTATTGGTTGATAAATTTCCTGTGTGGGTTTTAAATTAGAGCAGACTTTGCAGATGAAGTGGTCCTGTTGGCGTCACCGTGCCGTGATCTACAGATACAGATATTGACATTGTGTACACAGGGTCCCAGTTACATCCAACAATAAAATGTAAATGGAAAAACAGTAATAAAATCTAAGATATGAACTAAGAAAAACATCAACTAAACATACACTAAGCACTATTAGCATAAAACGATAAACACAATATTCCAAACAGCAGCACGAACATGAGTCTGTGTGAGCAGATGAGCACGCATGAACACAGCAACGTGAAACAGATCAGCAGCAACATGAAACAGATCAGCAGCAACATGATGTGATTTTTTTCACAGTGATTATTCTGGTTAGAGATTCATGAGTCTAACAGCCTCGGGGTAGAAGCTGTTCCTCAGTCTAGTGGTTCTACACTTAATGCTCCTCAATCTCCTTCCTGAGGGGAGCGGGGCAAAAGTGTGTGTGCTGGGTGAGTGTGGTCCTTCATGATGCAGGTGGCCCTCTTCCTGCATCTGTAGGTGTAG